GAATGCGATACATAGGAATTGGTAGAGCCACTATCAAACAATGCAAAGTATAGAACTGAATAAATAATAATAGTACCTACATTCACATTAGGCCCATCACGATCTTGTTAAAGTCTGGCAGTGTAAACCAATGCAAGCTGTCTGGCCTCAGATCTGACTGGACCCCTACTCTGAGATGCTCGGCCTCTGCTAGCCGATCCAGGTGCTCTCTCCTGAGTACGACCTTGTGCTGGAGTCTGGACTGTACTATGAGAACTAGCAGGAGTACGAGCTGGCGTCTGAAATGAACGATTTCGCTCTGGACAGTCCTTCAAAAAATTGTCACCATAACCACATTTATAACATGTGCCCAATTTCATCCTGCATTCTCCAAGATGTTGTTTTCCACAGTAATCACATGTCTTCAAAGGTTGCAACCCAGATGATCCACCATGTCTAGAAGAATGCACAACTGAAGAACCGGATGTAACAGGTCTGACACTCGCACCGCCTCTCTGAAATGAATCACCCCTGCCTCTCTTGCTAGGATGTGCAGAAGAATCAACAAAACCAGAAGGCCTCCTGAATCGGGTTTGAGCTCGATCACTATCTCTCTTATGCTTCATACCCAGTCTATCTATTTCCTCAGCAGTCTTGGCTATCTCAACCAAAGCATCAAAATTCCTCTCTCGGTGGGTAGCGACTCGACTCCTGATCTCATACCTAATTCCATTCTCAAACCTCAAGCATCGATCTATCTCAGTGTCAACAAGTCCAGGAGCATAACGACTCAATCGGATGAACTCCACCTCGTAATCCATAACAGACATATTACCCTGCTCCAGATTATGAAACTCTCGGCGTCGCTCCTGAAGATATCTCTCTTCGATGTAGCGACTTCGGAAGCGCGTCCTGAAAAGATCCCATGTTAATTGGTTCATTGGAATACTACCAGAAATGGATTGCCACCATCTGAAGCTTTCTTTCTTCAACATAGTTAGGGCCCCCTTTAACTTTTGCTCAGGTCTGAGGTCCATCTCATCTATAATCCTCTCTATGTCCTCCAGCCAATACTCAGCGTCTGTCGGAGGTCTACCAGTAATACCCTCGAATGGAACTACACCAGCAGCAACCAGAGAATTTGAAATCTCAACCACAATCATATTACTAGGGGCTCTGGCAGCTCTCTGAAACATGCAGAATATAGCTCTATTAATAACATCTTCATTCATGTCAGTATCCTCATCTCCAGTGACGGGATGATCTCTCACAGGAGTAAACTGGTCATCATGAGAAAGGGTCGGATCTACTTGCGGAACAGGAGGATCACGTGGAGATATCGGATCGTCGATCATAACAGAAGGTCGAGCGACTCGCCCTTGACCACAACCACGTCCTGTCCTACGACCTCTAGCAGCACTCATCGTTGGATCTATAAGACTCTACAGAAAGAGTTTAAAATATATGTCAGATTAGCATCAGAGATCTCGAGAAAACTTTTAAATCATAAAATAAGGTGACATTTTTTTTCAAAATTTCTTTAAAATCCAAAGTTTAGGACCCATATACAGTCCGAGTGTTTAAAACCGAAAGCTCTGATACCACCAAATGTAACACTCCAAACCCGGTCTGTAAGTTAGACCTAAACCTAAGTGGTCACATATCCCATTCAGAGTTTATATATATATATATATATCTTACAATATTAATACAAAACAAAATATTAATAATACAAATATATCCAAAACGATAGCAATATGTCACCAAACATAACCGAAAAACTTATAGAGATATACGTTCATACAAAATAAGTAGTTGATCTCTCCTGATGCCAAATCTGCTAGCTTACGGTCTGTTGTTATCTGAAAAAGCGTAAAAACTACAGAATGAGCTAGAAAGCCCAGTGTGCTCCAAACAGTGTATTAAAAACATACGAATAAAAATTTCCAGTAAAACCAATTATCAAACATGTTTTAAAATATGAACATTACCCCCATCCGTCAAGTCCAAAAAGTGTAGGTTCCCTAGAACCATACACCCACCAACAAGTCCAGTAAGGCCCTGAGCACACAGTAGAGGAGCCTCCAGGTATACTTCCTCCATCATTACCCCCAAATAAATCATGTTCTGCTCATAACGGATATATATTTCAAAAATTAAAACATAATTCAGGTCAGGTAACAGATCAGAATCCATGTCAAGTAGCATATAAAAATTCAGGTCAGGTAACAGATCAGATAACTATTCATATGATAGTTTAAAACAATATGATAACACTGTCAGAAAACACACCTGTAACAGTTTAAGAAATCAGATAGGGAAGCCTATCACTGGGTTTGTCGATCACGCTCTGCTGCAGCGCTAGATCCTACGAATTGGAAAAATGCATATTGGAATCCTAATATAAATAATCTTTATTTAAATAATATACGGAAACCTACGGGTAACTCTTGTAGTGCGCGACTCAGGCTGATCTGACGAACGAACAACTCCAGACCTAACTGATCCTCGTTCAGGTGAAACACGAGTACCTTCATAAAATACTTTACTGAATCAATTCCTTAACCAAATCTCAAATAAATAATCAAAATATTGAAATATTAAGCCTTTTGGGTTTACAAGCTCGATTCAGGAATTTCGGGTCATAATTTGGCAAAACGGACTTCGGAATCAGATTCAGGATGTCGAAAAACATAAAGTATGACTTTCCGAAAATTTGAATTCTTGGTCAAAATCAAAGTCAACGGGTTTGACTAATGATTCAGAGACTTTCGGGTTTGAATTTTGTGAAACCGACCCCAAAAACGGATTCGGGACGTCAAAAAATATCAGGATAGGTATTCTCAGAAAAGATTAACGGTTATTAAATGGTAGGTCAAAGTTCTGGTCAAAGGAGGTCAACAAAATGTCAACTATTTTACAGAAATAGTACCCTTTTTTTTAAAAATAATTACCAAAATAGCACCCTTTTTGAATTAATTTCCAAAATAGCACTTTTTTGAATTAAATTCCAAAAATAGCACTTTTAAAATTAAATTCCCAAAATAGCACCTTTTCGAATTAATTCCCAAAATAGCTCCAATTTCAAATTAATTCCCAAAATGTCACCCGGTCAACAGTCAACGGGTCGGGTCGGAACCGGTCAAACCGGTCATTTCGACCTTCCCCACGTGCAGTGGCGACGTGTGGGGGTACGTGGGACGCCTTCTGGCATCGTAAAATTCACGGAAAAATTTCTAAAAATTATTTTGAGCGATTTCGAGATACTTACAAAGCTCGGTTCAAATGTTTGAACGGAGGAGAGCTCGATTTCATCAAATCGAAAACTTTGACCGTATCACCACCACACGCGCCGCCGCCACCGGAGAAAAAGGAGGACACCAGTGGACTCGGAATGGCACAAGGAACACGATGGTGCCGGAGGTGTCGTAAACGGAGCAACGATCGGCGATGAATTTAAGATTTTCTCAGCGATGTAGCTAAAAAAAAGTCGAGACTTTGACTTGAAATTCCCGACGTTTGGCAGCGTTTCACTTCAATTAATTTAAGGGAATTATTCCTCACTCGATAACGAACACGATGGTGGTTTCAAAATGACGATCGGAATTCGGACGGCGTCGGGATCGTTGTCGGAAGTTGAGGTTGGGAGAGAGGATTTTGGCTCAATTTAGGAGCAATTGGTTTCTGATTTTTTGAGAAACCAATTGTCGTATATAATACCAAACTTCACCAACATTTCTTGGGTAAATTCAGGGCTTGGTCCCTGAATTTTCTTTAACTCTAAAACAAGCTACAAATTTTTAAAATCTTTTAATTTAGTCTCCAAATTTCTCCAAATTACTTAATTAAAACCTCAAATTGCAATTATATTTTTTTTCAAATTTCTGGGTTGTTACAATCATTATAGGCCCTTATGAAACAATTGGGTTAAGTATGATATGGATTTGGACTTGGGCTCAACCTAAAGATGATATAAATGACATTTTTTTCAATTAAGGCTAAAAGAGGAAGGGCTAAAGTAGTAATTAGACCCTTGTTTGAAAAATAATGGTGAAATTCTTTAATTGGGATGAGGTCACCCTTGGAAAGATGAGTGATTCTCTTCTTCCTCTTATCTTTTCTCTTTCTTCTCATCATTGTAAGAATCCCAAAGGTAGAAAATTGGTTGTCCAACAAGTTTATGTAATACCCCAAAATTTGATTAGTGACCAAAATGTAAGTTTTAAAAGTTTAGTGGCAAAGTATAAACTTTATAAAAGTTCAGGGACCAAAAATATATATTTTAAAAGTTATATATTTTGGTCTGTAAATGGATAGTTCATCTTGAAACTAATGTTTTTGTGGGAAACAAAAGTTTGATTTGGGATTTGTATTAAAAGCTATAAAGCAATAAAGTCCAATAAGAAATCGGATAATCAGATCAAACCAGAATTTAAGGAAAATTTGAAAGATGCTAGATAAAGGTTGAACATATTATTTCCATATTTTAGAATACTGAAATTTAGCATGGAACAATGAAATTGAAGTTAAATTTCCCTACTTAGATGAAATTGGGAAAATTTAATGATTAAATTGTAATTTTCAAAAATTGCATTACCAAAGTAGAAAGTCAACTTTATTTTGGTTCATCTTTGACTATGAGATATTTTAACGGAAGATATTTCAATAGCAAATAGTAATTATCATGATTCATTAAGAGTAAAAGTGAGATTGCTCATTAATTGAATTTTAAATTCAATTATATTAGAATGGTGCCAAGTGTTTTAATTGATGATTACAAGAGAAAAATTAAAGAATTTTCAGCTCTTCTCCAAGCTTTGGTCGAAACTCCATATCTCCCAAAGGTGAGGATTTTGTTTTGATTTTTGAAGCTATATGATTAACTTTTGGATCAAGTTATTAGATAAAGAATTAATCCCCTTGAAATTATCTATCATTTGGTATAAAATTACATGGAAATCATGCTTAGATGTCGAGTTTCATGAATTGGGTGGTTGAAGAACATGTTTGATTTTGAAGAGTTGATGGATATTTTTTATGTTATTGATGTTGTTGATTAATTCTAAAGCATAAATGATGATTGAAATCAAGTGTAGAAGCATGTATAGTAGTAGACCATGTTAGGGTTTATAGAGGTTGATTGAATTTTGATTCAATTTGATGTTGTGATGAGTGGAATAACATGAATTTGATGTAAGGAGGTTGAATTCATGCTTGAAATTGAATGAAAAGTTTACCCTAATTGTTTCAAGAGGTTCGACTATATGGAAAAATTTATGTGAAAAATGTTGAAAATTTTCCTATGGCCATTAATTGATGATAGACGTGTTCTACATTATTTGGAGATTGAATTGGATCAATTTGGAACCTTGAGATATTAAAAGGACCATTTTGCAAGTTTTGGAAATGATGAGATATTGATGAGAAATTGTGCAATTATGGGTATTCAATGTTAATATTTAATTATTGGATGCTAAACTTAAGTAAGAATAATGATTTGGGACTAAAGTACAAATTTGGTAAAATTCCATGGTGGAATTTGAATTGACTTATTAGTTAAGAACTTAATTGAAAATTTGTTAAATGTGAGGGTACCATTTGAATATGATACTACAATGCTGGAATTTCTTACTTGAATGTTGAATTTCAAGTATAAGTATTTAATTGGATCAAATTGCAAGTTTGGTAAAGTTGATGTTTAAATTCGAAAAGACTAGGAAGATTGAGGATGAAATTACAAGTTTTTAAATGTTAAAGTATTGGATTGATCATATTACTTGTATGCTGGAAATTTTAGTATTTGAATTGAAGTAAGTAAATTGGCAAAGGACCATTGTGAATTAAATGAAAAAGTTTATGTGAATTCTAAAAAAATCATAAATAGTGATTTAAATGCAAAGTTTGTGAAAGTTGAAGGATTGATGATGGAAATTAACATTTATGGAATCGAATAGCTATTTTGGAAAGTTTAAATTATGTTGGAATTGTGATTTAGTTTTATATCTACTTAGTATCGATTATGCTTATAGAATTTATTTTATCGGAATTAGATTATGTTAGTATAATACGAACATATAGTTGAAAATGGTGTTATGTATGTGATGTCGTATAGATTACGACAAAACTTGTGATCTCAGTGACTTGAAAGCGAAAGGTAAAGCACCTGAGTAAAAGGATATTATAGAAAACGTTTGGTAATGAGGTAAAGGTGAGTGCAGTTTATTTATTTAATTATTCTGATTGAGGAAGAATTGCAATAAGTCAACCTCGAATGATTTATTTTTAAAGAAAAGTTTGAATCAGATTATGGAATATTTCCATAATGGTTACCTGTTGGGATTCACGGAAGCTCGAATCGACAACCGGAACGGTTTGCAAAGAAGGGTCGAAACGGTTTTTGTGTTTAGGGAGTAAGGAGATTGAAAGATAGAGAATTGCACAGCGATTTATAGTGGTTCGACTTCTCAACCAAATCTACATCCACTACCTTAGCTTGTAACATCCTCAATACCGGGTTAGTGATCAAATTGTAAAATTTCAGAATTTGGTGATTAAAGTAGAATAGTTGAATATTTCAATGATTTATGTGGATATATTTTCTGAAAGTTGTTAGTAATTATCAAATGAATTAAAGGGAAAAATGGTCATTTGACAAGAAATATATTTTTCCTCTTTTATATGAATGAAACACGTGGGGGAGAGTAAGATGAAAACTCTTATTCTTCATTTTCTTTCTTCCTCTCCAACGAGAAGCATCCCAAACAAAGGTGAGTTTTCTAATTTATTGGTTATTTGTTGATTTTAAGTATGGGTTTTGATCCTTAGATGATAATTAAGCTTAAGGAAATCTTAATTTGTCTTAAAATCAAAAGATGAAGAAGTTATGAAAGATTAAAGAAAATGGGATTTCAAAGTGAATTTCTAAAAAAGAGTTAATAAATCAACTTTGAGATGGAATTTGACTTGTCATAGGTATGAATAAGAAGTTATAAGTGATAGAATTGAATTTAGAACATGTGGAAAATTTGGTATGATTCTTAATTTTAAGAATCATAATGAGATATAGAAGATAAAGATGGTTTATATGGATATAAGTTGGTTTAAGTAATGGTAGTTGAGTTTAATGGTATGATAGGGGATTAAAATAGAAGAATTGAGTGAAGAGTTGATGATTTTCGGGTTTAAACAGTAAAATTCTCGGTTTTATAGATTATGCAGAGGGTACAGATACCCTATGGGGGGTATCGATTCCCCCTAAAGGAAAAATGGAATTTTTGGTTCATTAAACTAGCTTAAGTTATTGACATCAAGTTTAAGGTTTAGGCTTCTGATAATTGTTTTGAAAATTATATTTATGTAGATATTGAGCCTAAATAAGTTCCCAGAATAATCAAAGAATTAGGATCGAATCAAAGCAAGGCTAAAGTGAGTGCAATTTAAATTGTACTTATGTTATTGAATAAACATTGGCTTGCGATGAGCCAGTGACAAAATTACTATGGTAAAAAGTGACTTATAAAATGTTATTAGATTTGTGATTGATATGATGCTTATGTGGCATGAGTGTATGTGATATATATTATCGCATATGTTACATGAATTGTGTGAATACATGTTAGCGTGATAAGCAATGTGAATTGGTACAAATAGTATATGTGATTACACAAGTTAAATGATATAAACATGTGATATAAGATATAAACTAAAGAATTATATGATATGAGATAAGACAGACATATGTGGTTATATGAGACATGATATAAAAAATAGGAGAAAAGGAATATGTGATATGTGAAAGTGAATCCTATGAAAATGTGCTACGTGCAAGTAAACCATATGATTAAATATGATATGTGAAAGTGAACTATATATATATGAATATAAGAAATGATATAAGCTATGCGATATGATCTATATGATTATATGAATATGCAATATGTGATACATGTTATATGATATGAGATAGATGTTTACACATACATATGGTATGTGACAGAAGAGAAATAAATATGTGATCATATGAAATGTGATAAAGAGCTATGTGAAAGAACAAGTGATATGAAATGTATAAATAATAATGCCCATGTTATGTGATATGAGAGCTAGTGGTATAGATGTCATGCCAAGAGTCGAGGGTTTACCTATGTTCTACGGAACATATGGACAGAATAACCTATGTCTTTCGGGACATATGGACAGTATACCTATGTTCTAAGAAACATATGGACAGTTTACCTAGGTTCTTCGGGACATATGGACAGTTGTCGAGGTTCTTTATGACCTCTGGATAGGTCATTCGGGACATTTATACGAGCTGTGGTGACAGTATAGTGGTGCACAACCTCAATGTACTCACATACCTTAAGTTCTCAAAAGTATACATGGACTAATATATGAGATTTAAAGATAATAAATAACTTGATATGATACTATGTGTGCTCTATTGTGAAAAGATATGGATGCCCGATGGATAGTATAGAAAGGTTCAACATATGCTTACATGATAAAAAGGAATTAGTGATAGTAATATGAGTACTGATAAGTATGTTAATGATATATGTATATGTGTACATTGGTTATACAATGGGAGATATGCTTTTATATGATATGATAGTATTAATTGTTTATGTATTGATATGAGTAAAGTAATATCATATTTTTCATGCCTCACTAAGTCAACGACTTAGCCTGTGATTGTTTCACGCGTAGGTTCCGAGAAGAGGGAGATTGGTAAAAGTTATACAAGATAGGTCAGTTTCTCCTTTCCAAAGATCAGATCAGAAAAGAAATGTATAGTATGTATTTTGTAATAATGATAGTGGTTGGCATGTAATAAAGATTTGAATTCGATATGTTTTATTGGTTCAAAAAATCATATGATTGAATTTTGTAATGATTTAAATGTGTATTTGTACATGGAAATTTTATACGAATGAAAGCTTAGTATTTTACGAGTTTTATACATGTTTTACCGAGGTACTATAGCAGTATTGTAGCAGGGTATCGGTTCTCTATAGTAGGGGAATTGATACCCCTGAACCAATTTGGAAAATTTTTAGAATTCGGCACTGTTCACGGCACTGTTCATACGACACTGTTCATACCATATTTTACTGTTCATAAATACGTTTTTGACTTGAATTTTATACTGAAACATAATTTAATATAATATTGTGGTATTTTCTTAAAAATAGTTCAAATGTTTTGATATTTTATAAGAATGTCGTTTTTAAAAGTTAATATGACATCTCGGATTTGTATCCGGGTCGGGTACGGGTAGGGGTGTTACATAGCTCCTCACCAAGGATTTTCCAACAAATTCACTAATTAGTTATTTCTTTTTAAGGACAAAGAGATAACCTTTACAACTCCCTAGTTTTTCACGGGATAAACTAGAACCTTTCCTTAGCTTTTACACAGACTAAGCTAGAACCTTTCCCCTTTACAAAAGGATAAAATAAGTAAACAAATAAACCTCTCAAAGGTAGGTGTTTACAAGAATTAAGCTCACAAGAACAAAATTTACAAGAGAGAATGAAAATAAGAATGAAAAACTTCTTCTCTTGTGTTTGATTGCTTGAATAGTTGTTCTCTTGCTTCTTCAAGTGTCCTCAGCTTGTATTTATAGCTTGGAATGAGTTTGAAGTCGTATATAGCCGTTGGGGATGTTTTGGAGCCGTTTGGAGATTTTTTTCTACAAAAATAGGCTGCCCAAAAGAGAGTGTATCAGTACACTATCAAGGTGCATCGACACTCCTTCATTAAATTTAAATTTTATGATCGTTGGGCTGTGTGAACAGTGAGTGCATCTTTACACCTTTTACATTCGATGTTTTCTAACATCGGTAATGTTCATTGCTGTTCACACATTATTGGTACTGTTCACACAGTATCGGTAATGTTCACTACTGTTCATCAAAACATTTTTATGCTCAATTTCAAATTAAATGGACTTTGAATTATTTTTGAAACCTTTTTAAAACATTGAATAAATTCAATTCAAGTCCAAAAATATTTTGTAACACCTACGAC